GTCACCCGCGGCAGGTCCTGTGGGTGCTCCACACCCCCCCAACAGCCCACCAGGAGCCTCCTGGCTGCTCACCGTGACCATGAGGGTGTTCCAGGCGGTGGAGAAGACCTCGGCACCCTCGTCCCCACGGTAGTTCCTCCGCAGCTCGGACAGGAAGAGCTCCGGCTGGATCTGCGCCATCGGTGCATCCGTGAGCACTGGGGGACCGGTACCAGGGACGGGGCCGTGGGGGCTGCACACCCGCCCCTGCCCAGCGCCACGCCGGCCAGGGCGCCAGCTCTCTTCGAGGGGACATGGGGACCCACCCATGGGACCCACCCACCCGGGTTTGGGCTTGCGTCAGGGTGCTGCTGATGAAGGTGAGGGTGAGAAAGGACGTCCCCGCACCGGTCCCAGTCCCCCGGGGGGACTCGGGGCCACGACCCATGGCATGACGCAGGGAGGAGAGGGGCTGGCCGCGCCGCGCCCGGCGTCAGGGCGCGGGGACAGTACCTGTTTCCAGTGCACCAGGAAGAGAGCAGCCCCAACGAGCTGCGTGACGAAGACAAGGCTCACGAGGATGAAGAACTGGAAGGCAGCGGGATGAAGGAGTCAGAGACCAGCCCAACCCCGTGGGCAGCTCGCTCCGGCTATTCCTCCCCTCCTCTGCAGCCAGCCCTGCCCGTGCCCTGTGCCCCTGAGACCAGGGGGACACAGGGGACGAGTGCGCAGCTCCTGGGGACAGACGCCACGTCTCCGAGCACCGTGGCTGCAAGGAGGAGGGATAAAAACAAGCACCAGCTGCCAGGGTCTGGGGGTGCCAAAGAAATCGGGGTGTCGGTGCCCAGAAAGGGGTTTCGAACCCTGACCATTGAGGGGAAAAGCTCGGAAATGCCGTGTGGGACAAGGCAGCGGCTTCAGAGAGAAGTGACCCCCACTCAGCGGCTTTATAAAATCCTCTGGGCTCTAAATTCAAAGACTCACTGGTCTGGGACGTGCGCCGAGGGCTGACGGGGCCAGGACGGGGAACACCAGGCTTCTGGCTCCCCCGAGGACGCCCTGCATCCCCCAGCACCCTCCGTCCCCTGGCTCCCCACATCCCGCGAGCTCCTGCAGCCCGCACCCCCCCGCCCGCCCGGCTCCCCGCATCCCGTGCCTGCCTTCCCACCCCGTCTCCCCTCACTCACCACCAGCAGCAGCGGCCGGCTCCCGCGCAGGGCCCCGCAGCAACC